CTATCGATCAACTAACGGCAAACATGAGTATATGCAGTTGTGCAGTCATCGATATGTTTTTTAGCGTCTCTTGTCTTCTAAACAAAAGTTAAAGTGAATTGGTTCTCATTGCCGTGTCTGTGATGTGAATTAACGTTAAGAAAAAGAACTAAACTAAAAAAAATAGAAAACTAAAGAGTAGTCGTTTGTATGAATGCAGCGTTATAGCCCTTCATACAATGGCCCAAATTGTATTTGAACACAGTGTTTTATGTGTTTGCGTTAAGTAATATCATATCAAACCAAGTGGAATTTTTAAAGATAGCATAATCACCCTTTTCAATCAAAGTATTTCACACAAATAAGTTAGATTGGATTTGAAATGATTAAACAATTCAAATATAGTATATACTTTCTGGTTGTTGAACATTATTGGAACATGTGCAGTTATTGTGATGAATTACACCTATGGTTACTCTGCTAGGACACTTGAGAAGAACTGACTTCATACAAAAAATTAGAAATTACCTCCATTTGGTTAAGTAATTTTATTTGCAAAAATATTTAGAAAAGTGAATTTATGTATGTATTTAACTGATCCATTGTATTACATTTTATTATTGCACTGAAATTAATACATTTTAAAATGTGGCTTTAGCTCCTTTGTGCTTTTTGTATGTTTGCTGAATAACAATTAACAATCAAACAAATAATTTTTAAACAGCAGTCAGATTTTTAGCTGAAGTAAGAAATGCATTAAAAAGATTTCCAGAATTATTATATTATTAATATGTGGTCAAAGAAATGTTAACACTACTAGACAAATGCAGTGCATGCAGATAAGTGAGACAAATGAGAGTTAACACAACATCTAATGCATTCAAATATTCCAGTAGTGCTTTTATTTATTTGGACTCAACAATATTTTACTGAATATCACAGCCTTTGCTCAAATGCTGCAATATGATGCAGAGTAGTTGCTTCAGATCTTAATTCACATGGTTTCAGCTGGACCAGCTGTGTTTTGCTTGAAATGAGTCAGAGAGAGGAAATGAAGAATGTAACCTTGAAATGTCACAATGCTGGTCTTGAGATTTTTGTAACCCGTTTATGCATTGTGTTTGATCCCTACTGTCGTATTGATGAGAGAAAAGGTATATAAATGTACTTTTAAACATCTCTTTTAAACTTTTAAACATTTTACTTTCCCTGTGCCGTAATTTTGGCCAAAAATATGGCAAAAAGACAAAAATAGGCAGCAATTTGTGCCTTTATTTTAGTGCACTTATTTTGATCTGTTTACCTGTTTGATAGGTCTGTTGTGCTTAATTCAGTGACTAAGTAAGAGATATTCAAGTCCTTTCTGTTTGGTATGGAATTATGTGTTACCGTATATGACCCATACATGGAGGAGAACCTGTGTGCTGCATTACACTTTAAGCAGGAAGCATATCTTACCCACGTATGGAAATACATAGACATGGAAAGCTAATTTAAAATGTGGGTATTTTTGGTAAGATAATAACTCATTCCAGTAATCTGTATAGATGAGTATTTGAGGTAGAAATTGTAATTCTCGATAATGACAAAAGAAAAATTCAGCATTGGGATATTTTCCAAATGCAGTTCATGTAGCTAATACCCTTTGGAAATAATGTCATCCACATATCCAGTTATATTGTTGCCTGTTTGAGGTATCTCCGAAACCAAATTTTCCATTTATTTCACTTTAAAATAATTTATTTTCATTTAGGCTACATTTTTGGTTGTCTTGATAGTTTAAACAAAGCTCTTTTGAACTTCATTTGATCCACTTCATGCCTCCAATGTCTGTGATAGAGGCCATATTCTGCCATCTTATTAAATCTCTAACAGTAATGGACACAATTTTCTTCTACTAGACACTTGAAATTAGCCCTTTATGAAATCTGGAGGAAATTTTCTTTCAAATGACCTGTTCAGGAATCAAGCCGTTTAGCTTTTGTCTTATTGTGTCAAGCCTGGTCTAATTCAGAATGCTGTATTCTGTCACCTAATTGTCACCCATAAATGATAAAGAATCAGGTTAAACTCTTCAATTCATGGCACATGATTACCGTGCCCGGCGTTTGGCTCGCTTCATCTCCGTCAGCCGAGTGTGCAGTGATTAGCATGTAAGCGCTAGCATGTAATTACAGAGCAGCTTCCTTTCCTTTAATGATTACCGTTAACACAAAGCCTCTGACGAGGTGAATGAGGACACGGCTCACTCTATTAAAAGACAGAACAGACACTTGGATGGTCTGAACATTTAATTCGTTTAAAATGTGAACTTCCTCTCGCTTCTCTAACGTGAGATCAAAGGCGTTTATGAATAGTACTTTGTGCCCTCGGTGCGTGTGGTGAACCTTCTGAAAGTGGCAGTGTCAGTCTGAGCACCTCGAATTAAAAGGTTTCAGGAACAAATGACATTTGTTCAATTTGAATTTGAACAATGACATGATCATTTTACAAGGCTTAATAGTGTTTTAGTTGATTGGGATGCCACTCAGTTCAGCAGAGACTGTCTGGAGGTTGAAGAATGTGTGTTGGCAACGTTCATTAGACCAGTTTGTTAAACAATATCATTGCAGAAAAGCTTTTTTGACAGTTATTTCATGCAGCTTGAACCGATGAAATTGTATCACTCATATTCACTAGCAATTAGAAGGAAATGGAAGTTAGGTGGGATATTTTTTTTGTTGTTGTTGTTGTTAATTAGCCTTTTCTTGTATTTTACCTCATTCTGTTTGTTTTTAACAACTGTTAGGGCATATAATGTAAAGGTTTTCACGTCTTAGGCAGAGTAGAATCACAGCCATGGTATTTACAAGCCACAGTATTTGTTTGTGAAATATGAAATCATCTGATCTCTTGGATTGCAGCACACAAACATTAACTGCACTTTGGCAAATGCAAGCCATGGAGACGGCCCAGCGTCTGAATTTATGAGCACAGTGAACTTTGAAAGAGCTCCACAGTTTGCCCACTCATTCGTGACCCAGACTTTATGTGATGGCACTAATATTTTTCCCTCTGTGTGTAGGTTTCGCTTTTTTTAATTTGAGCAGGCAAAATGTTGTGGAAACAGCGTGTTAATACGGTGTCTACTTGATCTCTTATTGTGCACTTCATTACAAAACATGCCTACCAACTCTCATCTGTCGTGACTTGACTCATTTGACTTTCAATAAGAGCATCTCAGTGCGGTACATGGGTCAATAAGACATATGAGTGTTTGCGATAAAGAAAAGGAAACATCTCTAAACGCAGGTTCTTAGAAATGTGTTAGCATTCACTTTCCTTGAATATGTGTGTGCATCTTATAATAATTATATTAATATGATTTTTAGTACTTAGTAAACAACATATTTTTTTCTCTGTATTATAATTTCAGGACAGTTGAATCACCGATTTTTGACTTTGTGCATGAAATCAATTTACTTTTAATTTAGAAATTAAAAAACATGCTTGCAACAGAAGAGGTTTATTCAAGTCATTCTATGCATGATTTTTATTATTTTTTTAAACAAATTGACCAGTTTTTTTAAATAGTCCAGTTTATTTTGTTGGTATTTTACTTTGGATACAATTCAGATGCAGCACGGTCAGACTCGACCTCATGTTGTTTCCTTGTATCGCTCGAATCTAATTTCAAGTGATCAGCCGTGGCTTTGGTCTGCTGTGTGGGAGTACATAATCAGATGTTTCATTCTGGCTGAATTAGCACCCAGAAAGACCACGTCACTTTAAGGCCTCCTCCTGCCCTGTCAGAGTCCATCGCGGGTGATGACGCAAACACACACACATTCACACACGCATACACACTCAAGACATCCACAGTTGGCTAGAGGCTGTTAAAATGAGGTGTTGAGAGTTGGCTTACACGCTCCAATGTGCCATGTTTCTGGGTGCTTGTCACTGGGCAGTGCCATGCTATCCGCCCCCCTGTACTGGCACTTATTGGTGCCATTGGTAGAGTCACTTTTACTGATGGGTTTAATCGTCAGGATTGGTACTTGATATGACGTCCTCGTGCACTGCCCCTGCGGATGTATCAGCTGCATCCCAGGTTTTTTTTTTTGTACTCTGAGGCTGCGTCTCTCTAAAACTGCCTCTTCCCCACTATTTCAAGAGCCAAAGGAAATCCTGTATTTCATCTGGAATAATGCAGATTAGATAACGGCTTGTCTCTTCAGGGGGAAAGTATGTTTTTCTATGAGAAAGGAGGAAGGAATATCTATGGTTATTTCTCTGGGTAACCAAATGGGGAGATGTTGTGCCAGGCCTGTTTGTTAACCCTATAAAGCCTATTGTATCATATTTCATCTGCTAATTTCTAAGTCCTCTATATTATAAATGTGACCAAAACTTTGCTGAGAAACCTGTTGTACACAATCTTCAACATGCCTTATGTTGTCTGATTGATAATTTATATTTTTTAGCAAGTAAAAGGCCTTTTTTTTCTAATTCAAAAAACCTACAGTGACAACTGATATTAATATGCACTTTATGTAGTCTGCACATACTATTATAAAAAACTATCAGAAAGCTATCAGAATTTAATCTTACTTTTTGATCATAGAAATATCAGCAACTGTACCAAATTGAATACTTTTGCTCCGTTTGGGCTTTTTTTTCTATGTTATACTGTATGAGCAAAAAAAGTCTGATGTATCAAATATGATACTCAACAAACCAAAAAAAAAAAAAGGCAAACTTTTACAATATTTTGTATAAAGGTTCAATAAAAAATATATGAAAAAAAAAAAAATATAATATACACATATATTATAGGCTACTGACTACGTTTTCATATGTCAGCCTTTACAGGTTTAATTTGTCTTCAGTGTTAGTAAAGATTAATTTTATCAGGCTTTTTATGTATTTATATGAGTAATATGCAATACAAATAGTTCAATTTTATAGTATGCCAATTTATTCTCTTATTTTTTATTTTTTATTTTTATATGGTCATGACTTGGCAAAAGGTTACCGACCGTGTAAATGTAATTTTTCATTCTGCCTTCAAAGGTATTTTGTGTAAATCAGTAGAAATTGAATCCCCCACTCTTCTGTTATGGTGTTGTTATATGGTATCCCATTGATTGAAAGGAGTTAACTCTTACACAGGCGAGCCTTTTGAATGCAGTTGAGCAATGACTCAGCATCCATCGATAGTCATGATGGTGCTGCTTTTAGTCGTGAGGTCGGGCACTGCGGGGTTTCCCTTTCGCATGAACTGTGTGGGGGTCTGAATGAGGCAACATTAACCCCTCACTTTCCACTCCATCTTGAGGTCGAATGCTTTTCACGCCCTACCTGTGTAAAATGGAGGCACTGAGGTATAAAGGGTAGAGGTAAATCACTGTGTGAGAAAATCCCACTCAGTACATCCGAGCGATTGGAAAACCCCAGCCTTTCAGGTTAGACGCTTAAACCTACTTAAGTTGTTACATTTCCAGTTCTCTGTTGCAAAGTTTTGATTCGTTTTCACAGTTCTGCTTGCTATGAAGTGCTGTGCTCAGCAGTGTTTATCACATGGCTGTTTACATGGAAAAAAAAAAGCATGGTCAATGGCCGCCACAAGATACCTCTAAAATTCGTAGAAACAAATTATTGTCATTTTGAAGTGTCTCGAGTGTCATTTGACAGCATCAGCTTGTCGTCTGTTTAATTTATTCAGTGTTCGGCAAGCTACTTTGAAAATTTGGAATTTAGCTACAAGCTAACTACATAAAGGTATTTTATATAGCTGTTTGAAAAGTAGTTAGCTACTACAAGTTGTTAACTACATTCAAGCTATGCATAACTGCAAACTTATGCATAACAGACATTGCAATATATTTACACAAATTAGCTGTATTTATCTGCCACATAAACAGCAAGGGGTTTCTGAAAGAATGACTCGCTCGCTTAAAAACAAAACGCCTTGATTTATACAACAGTTGCAAACATAGTGATAGCAGCCTTTAACTAAATATTACGCCATTGAAAACAAGACCTAAAATGTTGGGTAGGAACGTTGAATATTGTTGTTTTTTTTCCTGTGTCCGAAAGATCCAATTCTCTAAAAACATCCCATTGCCACTTGAGGACGAGCTTTTGATAGCATTAATTAATTCTGCAGTACATCTATGTACACGATTCAATACATTTTGTGTCACTACATGTTGCTTGCTGGACAGTGTGGTTTGTCGTCTTATTGAAGAAGTGAATTAAATTAGTAACGTCGCTTGTAGTTAATTTCTGCCCGACTCTTTAGTTGTCAAAACAACAATCGAATTGAGAGGTAAATCTCCAAACGATCAGCTGAAGTATTTTTTTTGTTTGTTTTTTGCTGCCTAACTCATTATGCACTCCAGCTATGACTTAACTGTGACACATATATGATGAAATTCTATGTGATTCGGAAAGTACTGTATGTTTGTGAATTTTGCCAGTGCGATTATTATTAACACCCTCTCCACTATGTGGTTAATAATCATAGGTTATTACGGTCTCCTTTTTTAATGTGAGTCATTGAAATGTGATTTTTTTTTTTTTTTTTTACTCTACAGTAATAGCGTGCATTCACACTAAATTTCAGGTTTGGTTGGGCCTGTATCCATGAGTGTGCTCTTGCTGGAGGCGTTCTATGGTGGCTCCCACAAACAGCTGGTTGATCTTCTCAAGGAAAGTGTTGAAGACTGTGTAAGCTTCACTCTGCCTGCAAAGAAATGGCACTGGAGGGCCAGAACTTCTGCTCTGTACTTCATGCAAGCAGTTCCAGCAAGTTCCTCGTACAGGTCAGATAAACATATATACTGACATTTGCTTTACACATAAACATGTATTAATTTCATTGCATTAGATAAACAATTATGGCCATTTACCACAATTTTAGACATTTGCATGACCTTAAATGTTGTCAGGTTAAGTATAATTGGTGATTAACTCACTTACTCAGTTCTATTGTACCTCTTACGTCAAACATTTGTCATCCCCCCAGTCCCATACTTTAAAGCCACATAGCTGTGGTTTCCGCATTACTGCAGATCATGGCTGAGGATAGTGTTGCTATACAGCTCTGGTGTATAACCAAACTTGCAGAAGCAAGACCTTTCCGAATTTTAAATCCTGTTCAGATCTAATACATTTCTGCATTTCTTGTACAACCTTCTCAAAAAATTATGGAGCATACTGTGTTTTGTGTGTGTGTGTGTGTGTGTGTGTGTGTGTTTTTATAGCTTAGCGATTCTCTGAGAAATGTAATCAGGATAAGAATGTTTGGGGTTATATTATTTTATATATCTTTTTATTTAAAAAATATAGCCTCTAACACTAGTATTCTCTATTCTTTTTCTATTCTATCTACTTGTTTTCTTTGTATTTAAAAAAATGATCCTCTAACATTAACATTCTCAATTCTTTTTCTATTCTTTCGACTCTTCTTTCTTTATAAAAAAGAGACCCTCTAACGCTAATGTTCTCTATTCTTTTCTATTCTATCTACTTGTTTTCTTTTTATTTATTATAAAAAAAAAAATTTAAAAAACCTTGCTACATTTACTGCATTAGGCTAACTGAAACTTATCACAGCACTTACATATTGCTCTTGTTTGTTTTGATTCTTTCTATTTTCCTCATTTGTAAGTCTGCAAATTGCCTATAATATATATATATATATATATATATTTATAAAAATGACCCCGTTCAAAAGTTTACATACCCTTGAATCTAGGGCTGTGCAAAAAAAATCGAATGCGATTTTCATGCTCATCTTGTCAGTAAAGCAAAATCGCATTCATAATCGGCAATGAATCGCCTGCGATTTTGAACGCGATTTTGAGTAGCTTGTCAGTGAACTACGGCTCTGTGTAGTAAATGCCACTCCATTGAAAAAGCGCGTGCTGGAGATTATTGGCGCCAATATTAAGCATTTTTATGATTATCGGTATCGGTCATTTTTCAAAAAGGACTCATATGCAACTATTACAGAAGGTTCAAAGGCTCACTGATGCTCTGATGAATAGTTACATGTTTCTCAGAAGACAAAAAAGTTAAATTTACCCTGATCTTCAAATTCAAAAAGTTCTTAATGCATGGTTTTTCCTTCTGGAGCATCAGTGAGCATTTAAACCACCTGTAATAGTTGCATATGGGTCCCTCAGTTGTCCTCAGTGTGAAAAAATGGATCTCAAAATCATAGAGTCACTTTTGGAAAAGGTTCAAATATGCAGAAGATGCTGGAAAACCAAAGAATGTGCAGGAGCTGGGGGATTTTTCTGAAGAACAGCAGGCAGTTGAACTGCTCAGGACCAATGCAGGATTCATGAACAACTATCACAAAACAGAAAAACAGTCGTGGATCATCCAGGAAAAGACACAAAGTATTAAGGTCCAAGGGTATGTAAACTTTTGAACGGGGTCACTTTTATAAATTCAGTTATAATTTTTTCTTGTGGAGTATATATAAACATTTGTAATGTGAAATAGCTTATTCAGGACAGTACTAAATAAAAAATAACATGCAATTTTCATGAACTCTTTTATTTTGTTAAAATTATTAACATATTTGCATATTCTGCAAAGGGTATGTAAACGTATGAGCACAACTGTATATATATATATATATATATATATATATATAATTTTTACTAACCAATGATAATTTTCTAGTTGCTGCTGCTGGTGTTTGTTATGGATTTGGAGCATTTTGCTTGCTTTCTGAAATTTATCTAGCTATTCTCATCTTTTTTTAAATGTCTACAAAACATCACGGAAGCTTTGTGTAATAACAACTGTGCAATGTGGTTTGACATTTTTACACCCAATACTAGGATATTCTTAAAAGTTAAAATCGAAGTTTGTCAAGGTGTTACCGGTATATGTGGGTACACAGTTTGATCAGTCTCTACCTCTAGATTAAATAGCTGATACAAGATGAACACCAACGCTGAGCTAGATGAAAGTAGTGTAATCATAGCTGCCTGTATTATCTTCATCATAAGAACATGAGTAACACTTTATAATAAGGTTTAATTTGTTCTCCTTAGTTCTCATCAGATATGAACTAACAATGAACAACAGTTTTTTTTTTTATTAATCAGCATTTATTAATCTAAATTAGTTAACTTATAAATATACTATTTATACTATAACTAATATACTGATTACAAACTCATGTTCGTTTAAAATACAGCAACTGTTAATTTATACAACTTAAAATGTGAAAATGTATTAGTATATGTGGAAATGAACATTAATCTGAAATAATAAATGCTGCTAAATTATTGTTAAAGGTGCTGTATGTAGGATTGACACCGAGTGGTTGAACTAGGTATTGCAGTCCTAATTCAAAATATTGGTGAGGGTTTTTTTTCACCCGGCCCCTCCTCCTCAGACTTGACGTACACGCAGGTTGCCAGATTGACGACACCAACAGGAACGAGCGCACTTGGCAATGAATGAAATGAAATAGGCTGCGTTTTCCGCCAACTGGCAACCCGGGGTGCCGAAATACAATTGGGTAAACTGGCAGTGGGCGGGTTTCACAAACCAAAACAGAGACCCAAATTCCGGCCCGGAACGCAAATTTTCAAAGGAGAATAACTGATTGTAGCATTGTTTTTCTGATAAACAATGTTTCTTAAAGGTGCAATAGGTGATTGTCTTCAGAAACATTTTTTGTTATGCTGGTTGAAAGTCTCTTCACATCCCGATAGCAATCATTAAGTTAAGTGGTCTAAATGTATTTGTCTGTATTTATATATTCTGTGGAAGGTGTAGGATCAAGAAATGTTCGTCTAATCAAAACGTTCGGTCCGAGCGTTTTAATATGCTGTCCTACCTGCCTGTCAACATATGTATTAGCATACCTCTGCGCACCCAGTTCGCGCAGACAGGATACTCATCAGCGCGTTCACGCACGCTGTGCAGACAGAGCGAGGATGGCAGGCAAACATCAACAAGCCGATCTTCCTTCCTGGTATTGTAGTACTTTCAAAGATTTCTCACCAGTGAATGACACATGATGTAGCCCAGCGGTTAATCCAGTCCTCGCGCCAGCTCGTCAGAAGTGAGCTACGTGCATGAACTGTGTTCCGATCGATATGATCCCTACACAGAGTTCATTGCTCCCTACTCCCTGAGCAGGGGAAATCCGTTGAAGTTTACTTCACTTCGGAACATGGGCTGGAATTGGGAACCTGATGTAGCCTATTGTAGTAATGTTGTCTCTGGTCTGTGAGTGTAAATGCGTTCAGGGGGCGTGGCTTTGGACGGCGATTGCAGGAAGGGTGGGACATTCGCTTTCAGTGCTATCAGGCTAAAGTTAGCATTTTCCAAGATCTCCTATTGTACCTTTAAGTATCGGCAAACATATTATGGTATTTTTATGCTTTAGTAGAATCAAAAACTTATATACAGCACCTTTAATTGTTAGGTCATGATACCTAACACATTAGCTAATGCTGACAAATCAAATCTTGTTATTCCCAGAATCAGAATATTTTCATTTCACAATTATATTTTCAAATTAGAATAAGGGTGCCTCCACACATAGTGCACTCCACAGAGAGATTATACACTTGTTTCCTTATATTGCTTAGTGGTACTCGGTGAAGTGTTGGTTCAAATAAAGTTTCTAAAACTGCATAAACAAGGACACAAACACGTTTAGAGACTAGGATCCGATTGGGGACTTTCTTGCTTCCTTTTAAGGGACGGAGAAACCGCAAGTGGGTGGGGGAAGCCCTGAGCATTCCTTCAGCTGCAATCTCATCTCGCTGCACTCGAAGTTAAGCAAAAGTCAGAACAGGCGTTTCATTCCTAAAGTCAGGTATCAAATATGCACAGTCACACCCTTCACGTGTCAATGACCTGGACGCACTTTCAAAACCTGTATCAACTGTCGGGTCATCTGCAGCTTGCCCTTATGAGACGGTCAAAAAATGTGAAAATATGTGAATGTGGTCCGTTTCAGTGAATAGAGATGGGCGAAATAGTTCATCTCCTACTTCATTCATGCTTGCAAAACATACAGTAATAATGAAAAGGTACTAAGCCAAGAGCAATGCTTGCTTCTCCAGATCGGCACCTTTGATGATGCAGTTACAAACCTGACTCAGCACAGAGCAGCTTGCCCACCCACTGTGTCTCTTATCTTACAGGTTCTCACAGAGCCAAAATGTCTGGTTTGGTTACGGTTAATAGTTTGCACTGGAAAAAGCCAGTGGGCGACAGTTGCTGTTACGTCACAGTTTAATGAGAGCCAACAATGACTCCTGTGAATGATTGTTAACACCTTGGATGAAGATTATATCTATCAAGTGCATTAAATCGAGATTATACTTTTTTTAAGCGCTTTCCGTTGAAATAGATGAGCCAGATTTAGTTTTGGCATTTGGTGGGCCCTGAAATTGCTCATTAAGGTTTATGCAACGATACTGTTTACCGTCTGCCTGCTTGCTTCAGCAACCACATCAACTGGACTGACCTAAAAAGATGCATCAGACTCGAGTGTCTGTCCTCACCTCCGGTTCAAAGGGAGCCGAAGTAAACCTTCCTGTTTCATTAGTATTGGACGCACTCCACTTTACAATTTCAAGCAGGAAAGCAAGACTAAAAATAGTAACTTCTATCATCTGGTTTGATTTCAGAGTTGTGTGTGAGTGAGGATTTGGGAGGTGCTGTTTTGCGCTCGTCTTGATGGAGTTGAGGAATAGAGACGTAATCCTGCCGCACAGTTACGGGGGCACGGAATGGTAGAAGTTGCCCCTTCACTCTGATCTTAAAGCAGTGTGATTGGTTTTCCGTATAGTTAAGATTAAGAATTGGTTAGGGGGAGCTGGTTGTAGATTAGCATAAAAGGGACACTTCTGACAGCGACAGAGTCACGGTCGCGAGGCCGCGGGCTCCCCACATCAAAGAGACTGGCGAGCTGGCTGCAGGGTTAGACTGACAGGAGATGGGGGCTTAGAAGAGGGGACTGGGTTCATTTAGGGAGACCAGAACTGAACTTCAAAGCCCTTGTCCCATGGCTCTTAGCACATACAAGGGCAAAATCTTCAATGGTCTCCTACTCAACCTCAATAATGTTTTTCTCTGCATGGAATGTGCAGAGATTTTTGTGTCCTCTTGTGTTTCAAATGATGTATTTTTTCGTTTGCAGATCTAGGATTTCATATTTTACTCTAAAGTCATTTGAGACCTTCGTTGCAGGCATCCTCAGCTATAGCTGCAGTTTTTATGCATTTTGCATTACAAAAGCACAACTTTTTCGTTGTTAGTTATATGTAGTATATATACAACTGTTCAAAAGTTTGGGGCCAGTATGATTTTTGTTTTGAAAGAAATGCATATGTTTATGAATTATCAAGAACACACTAAATTCATCAAATGACAGTAAAAGTGTCACTGTGTGACTAAAGACTGGAGTAATGGCTGATTAAAATTGCCGTTGCAGCCAGCAAGCTAATAGTTCCTTCTTTTATCTGTTTTTTCCTTTCTTTGTCTCGCAGGGTTTTGTTTACCAGCTCCGTACTCAATCTTGCTGAACTTGTAGCCCTGCGGTCTGATCTCGCCCGTCTAAAGAAGGTCCTCTACTTCCATGAGAACCAGCTGGTCTATCCAGTTCGCAAGAGCCAAGAAAGAGACTTCCAATATGGCTACAACCAGATCCTCTCATGGTAACAACTGATGAACTTTACAGAAGTACTTAGAAGAAAAACATATCTTAGGGTTTAGGGTTGTGCCGATAGACGATAGTATCGTGTATCGATGATAGTCAGCGATATCGACGATAGCAGATGTCTTTGTCGATAGTCATGACGATATTAGGCTCATTCTCTTATAAATGTATTAAATTATTATTATTATTATTATTAGGCAGCCTATTATAATTTGGCTGTTATTACCAAATTGCCCCGCTATTTCACTTCAGCACCGCATTTCACACGCACAAATGAGGATTAGAGCCTGTAGCCAGTGAAGGAGTTTCCATCCACAAACACAGATGTACATCGTCTGCTGATATAAGGTATTTCATTGCACTTTAACAAGTATATATGTAGTATATATACAACTGTTCAAAAGTTTGGGGCCAGTATGATTTTTGTTTTGAAAGAAATGCATATGTTTATGAATTATCAAGAACACACTAAATTCATCAAATGACAGTAAAAGTGTCACTGTGTGACTAAAGACTGGAGTAATGGCTGATTAAAATTGAGCTTTGCCATCACAGGAATAAATTGCATTTTAAAATATATTAAAACTATATTAAAACTAAAATTGTAATAATGTTTCAGAACGTTACTGATTTTATTGTATATATATATATATATACCTGCTGTAAAGTGTGAAATAAACACACACATACACACACACACACACACACACACACACACATATATATATATAT